AACGGAATTAGATATGTATGCAAGTGGTGTTTTGGCATCTGATTCTTGCCGCACAAAACTGGAATCTCTCGGACAGTGTTATCAAAGACGCTTGAGCCCTGAAGCGAGGCTCAAAATATGTTGAGCGCTTCCTCTCGCTTTGTGGGTGCTTTAGTGCCGCATCAAGGCTCTAAGACATACTTTTCCTTGCTAATGAGTATAATCCTGAAAAGACTGACATTAAGAGCTTGTTTGGAAAGCCACCTTGGAAATGAATTTGGGTGTAATTGAGTGTAATTACACAGTTTGGCATGTTTGTTTGGCCAAGTGATTACTTGGTCAGGATGGAATTGGAGGGGTGTAATTACACTCTCCAATTCTCAAGGGGAGGTGAGAATTGGTGGTAATTACACTATGTAATTGCAAGGTTGCTTTTTAGTTTCTTTCCTTTTTGTTTTTATTTTAATTTGTTTTTTTTATAACTTTTTATTTCTTTAATTTTTTAATTTTATTTTTACTTTTTAATTTCTTTTGAAATTTTAATTTTTTTTTTTGTACATTATTTATCTTTTATTTCTCTATATTTACTTCTTGTGATTCCATGTAATTGCTTATATATTATTTTATTATTCTATTTTTTTAAACTACACCTCCTAATATAAGAAATAAGTAGTCATTAACAAACTTGACATATAATGAGTGATGCAATTAAAGTGAAATTTCGTTGTTGAATGTGGTTATAAACTTATCATGTTTCCTAATTATTAAGTTCCACTGGAACTTACTATTATTATGTTGGAATTTGACATATGTTAAACTATTTTTTTTTTTTGACTTTTGAAATTGTGTTATATTCATGGTTTTAATTTACTTGTTTTAGTAGTATTGGGTGACATTGCATATTGTTCATGTTTAGTTAGAATTGATAGATTAGTTTTGTCAAACATTTGAATAATGTTATGACATTATATTTGTAAATATTAATTTATTTTATCAAACATGAACTCCATGATGTTCTTACAAAACGTATATTTTATTTTTGTAAGTATCTAAACTAAATATTATTAATTTTAAAAATATATAAATTATTTTTACAATATTAGTTATAAATATATGATTACTAAATTAATGTATATTCACGAAAAAATATATATCATTTATACTTATAAAAATTTATATGCATATATTTATTATATTAACTTTTAAGTTTTGATAATTACTTAATTTGAAATTTAATCTAACTGTGTAATTACACTTGTGCAACCAAACAGTAAACTTGTATTTACACTGTAATTACACTATGACAAACAAACATGTCGTCGTAATTACACAACTATGTAATTACTAGGGTGTGTAATTACTACCCTAGTAATTACACCAATTCCAATTACAGGGTGGCTTTCCAAACAGACTCTAAACAATTGATGTTTTACTTTATTGTGTTTTTTTTTTTTTTTGCAATTTCTTTGTCCATATATTTGTTATTCATGCTTATAATTATTAGTCTTGGACTACATATACATATTTTTACTTTTTCTCCAGTTGCGCCTTTTTTCATTAAAGTCCACGCTTTATTTGCACTTTGCGCTTAAAGTCCCCACAGACCTTGAAGCTTTTTTGCGCTTTTCGCCTTTGATAACACTGCTCTCATAATGCTCTCTATTTCTACAAAGCATTAGAGCAATTTTTCTTTATAACAGCTGCCCAAGCCAACTTGCGAGCACCTTGACTATTCCATCTCCCATCACCCCAAGTACCCAGTAACTTTGCCTACTAAGACTTGAGCAGATGACCTAGTATTTTTTGTCTCCACTAAGATTTGAATCCTGGCCTCCCATAGTTTTCATCCACTTCATAATTATTCGACCACACCCTTGGGTGCCCATTAGTGGAAAGTTATTGTAGTTGCATTTTAACTAAATGCATATCGGTTACCTTATCTAGGCTGCACCCAGATTCTCATTGCATTAAGTAGACAGGTTATAACCACAGGAATTGGGACGATGCTGTAAGCCTGTAGGCTGTAACCTACAGAATATTAGCTACCTTCTATGGAAGAATTAAATAGACAAATAGAATGTGTATCATTGAATATTCAGTAATATGTTGTCTACTTGTATCAAGAGCCAAAGATCTTTTGGATCTCCTTCTTTTAAGATGTAGAAGCTACTGAACCCTCAAATTTTTACACCATAGAGTGATGAAAAGCTATATGAGTCAAAGGAAAAAATAAATTAAATTTTATAGTACAACAGTAGATTTATATACTTAATGTCAAAATCTAGTGTCTACAGGGAATGCTTATTACTCGAGTATTTGATGAATACATTAATGATGAGCAGAGACCAACTTTAACTTTCACCATCAGCAGTCTTTGACTTGTTTCCAACTAGTCTCCT